CCCCCCCCCCCCCCCCCCCCCCCCCCCCCCCCCCCTCGCTGTATAAAATATAAGAGTATAAAATAAACGGGGGGGGGGGGGGGGAAGAATCCCTTTTTCCTTCAGGTTGGGAAGTCTTGGCCAGATGACCCACGGCAGGTGGATATCACGGCATTTGCATCCGAAGAGGACTCCAGCTGCACCAAGGGGACTCCAGCTGCACCAAGGACGAGCATTCAACAGCACCTACGCCCAAAGACGCCAGGTGCTGATGGCCCAGACGAGATGCCTATCTGAGGGGGGGGGCCAGGATCATCATCACCCTGAATCCAAATGCCAAATTCCGGGAACCAGGGAAGTGCATCGTTCTATTCCCAGACGAAGGCTTTGTGCAGCCCAAGCCAGAGAAAGAAACCAACATGAATACAAAGAACTCCGAAAGAAACAAAGACTTTCTGTCGCGGGCGAAATAAACTGTATAAGAACTGCTACCTCGAAGCAGTTGGTGTGGACAGGGAGGTCAAGGCACCAGTGAGGGGGTGCTTTCCTCTCGTTCACCCGTATCATCGACCGGGGGTGATACGCTGTCGAAGCAGTTGGTGTGGACAGGGAGGTCAAGGCACCAGTGAGGGGGTGCTTTCCTCTCGTTCACCCGTATCATCGACCGGGGGTGATACGCTGTCCGTTTTTGGTGGTGGCTATCGGACTGTTATTACGGTCGCGAAATAAATTTTATTTTTCATATTTTTATTAAAATTGGCTGACTCGCAATTTTCATTTATAACAGCTGTAAATCACACGCGGCTCATCTGAGGGAGCTGAAATAGGCCAGGACAGCCCCAAGTCCCGTTCCACAGCGCAGCGTCCTCCCGGCCTCAGCTGCTGCTGTGGGCTTTGGTTCCCACAGCACGCCACCAACCCGCGCTTCTCCCCTCTGGGCTTTGGGCCCTATGGGAAACAATAATTTCCGCCTGGAGTACCAGTTCAAGTCCAGACCAGACTGGTAGTAACCTGAAATTTTTATTTCTTTAAGTTACCTGATCACATTATTCCCTATAGACAAGTGTGCCCATTAGAAATATGCAACAGCTGGCACAGATTGGCTTCTTGCTGGCATTTGCAAGAGTGAGGATGGGGCAAGAGTGTGATTGGAATCTAAATTATTCCTCCCTCGAAGTGGTCTGGCCAACACAGATAGAGGCACTTTCATTTGAAAGGGAAACTTGAACTTTGTAGTTAATGGATGAATAAATGGAAGACTTCAGTCCACAGGACTGTCAGATTGGTAGTTTTCACAAACACTTAAATCAAATACCACAGCTGAGGGGAAGAAATTAAGATGCAAATATCCAGGAGTCAGTGCCAAGACCAGTGAAATCAGAAAACAGATTTGCACTATTTTGCTTCTGTGCCTCAAAATATAAAATATATCAAGATCTTATTGCCTGTAAAGGTGGTTTGTCATATTCTAAAAAAGGTACAAAGGACATAAAATCTTTATCCTCTGATCTGCCCACAAAATAAATTTTTATAAAAGACACTTAAAAATAGCTTCTCTAAAAATTCAGATATTTATGTTGAGAGGGGTTAATTGGACACTACCATTGCTATCAACAGCAATTACTCTCTGCTGTTCATAAGCACTTTCCTGAAAACTATAAGCAGCCCACTCCTGTGTATTTTGTGTATACTTACTGATGAATCATGCTGATGAAGTCAGACACTTTATAGAGCACTCTGAGTGACCATTGCATGAGTCTGAAAAAAAATATTGGACATTCCATAAGTTTACCCTGAACTATTTTTAAATGCAATAGCTGAGACATATTTGTACCAACATAATCTAAACATGCATTGGGCCTCCTGAGCTGGTAAGGAAATGAGTCTACTGCCTTCTGGGCTGGCTGTGCAGGGCAGAGCTGTCAGCTCCAGCAGGGTCACTGCTAGCACAGGCTTCACTGACATCCAGGGCACTGCATGGCTCAGAAGGTGAGCTGCATTAGTCTACACCATGGACATGTAGTCTATATTCCTAACTGAATATGGACAGCACCAGCTGTAAGGAAACATAAATTGTACAGTTGGTTTGGTTTTGCATATCAAATACCAACATGACTATGAAGAACTCCGAAAGAAACAAAGACTTTCTGCCGCGGGCGAAATAAACTGTATAAGAACTGCTACCTCGAAGCAGTTGGTGTGGACAGGGAGGTCAAGGCACCAGTGAGGGGGTGCTTTCCTCTCGTTCACCCGTATCATCGACCGGGGGTGATACGCTGTCCGTTTTTGGTGGTGGCTATCGGACTGTTATTACGGTCGCGAAATAAATTTTATTTTTCATATTTTTATTAAAATTGGCTGACTCGCAATTTTCATTTATATACTTTAATTTTTTAAAATGTTCTTTCCCTTTTATATTTGGGCGGATCTGGAGTGTTTTCTAAGAGTTCAAAGTGGAGCTGTGGTAATGAGCTGTAAATCACACGCGGCTCATCTGAGGGAGCTGAAATAGGCCAGGACAGCCCCAAGTCCCGTTCCACAGCGCAGCGTCCTCCCGGCCTCAGCTGCTGCTGTGGGCTTTGGTTCCCACAGCACGCCACCAACCCGCGCTTCTCCCCTCTGGGCTTTGGGCCCTGGCTTTCGAAGGATGAGCCCCGCCGAGGCTGGCTGCTCTACTGGCTGTGCCAGCCATGTGCTCTAGTGCTGCTGGGCACACACATTGACAGACCTGCACTTCTCCAGCAGTGGTTTCTGAGGTTTGAAGCGATGTTACTGGGTTATTTTCCATAACTGGTGGAGAAGAGTTTTATATGCAACATTTGCCAGATGTTCGTTGAAGCAAATCTAGTTGCTTGTCTTTCCTCCTTGCCCTGTGGTGCAACAACTGAGGTGAGCTGTTTCCATCTAATTAATGTAGGCTGGCTTGTAAATACTATTTTGTGTACCTTCTGTAGGTTGCAAAAGATCCAAGTAAGGTCAAGATGTATCCTTGTGTACATACAGTTTTAAACCCCTCGTGCTTCCTATATTGTATAATTGTATAAACATTTCTTAAATTAAACTCTTCTGAAAAGCAATTAGCTCCAGAATGAACTCACTTTTACAGCCTTCCTTTTGTTTGGGTGGGTTTTGTTTTTTCTTAGGCTGGCAGGGTGCTGGCAGTAGGACAAAAAGAGGTGAGGAAGGCTCGCAAGCTTTTGCCTGTTGTGGCAGGGTTGGATGTGCAGGAAAATGAAATGCATGTCTGTTCTCACTTCTGAAAGGCTGCAGGGAGATGAGCTCTCTCAGTTCTGGCTCTGTAACAGAAACAGCGAAGGAATGGGGGCGATCAGTAACTCGCAAGTGAAAGCAGTCTTCATTAAGATGACAGTGATTCTGCTTCGAGCCTTTGCTCTGCTTTGGGAAGGAAATCAAATCCATTATTAAGCTGGATTTGCCACTGATTTAAGGTTTCTGCCTGGAGCTAAGTAATTTTTTGAGAAATTGTCAGAGGTTACTGTGATGCTTGCATCAACCTTCTGTGTTTGGGACTTGGGGCATGTTTGAGGGAGCATCTTTCTGCCTCCAAAGCTGAATGGCACTGCTGCTCTGCTCTCAGAGGCTGCCACGCTGGGTTTGTGAAGAATCAGTGCTGTGGGGTTTTGTGGGTTACGTGTTCATGTAATGTGACAGTGTCTTTGGTGAATTTAAATGAGTTCTCACCGTAAGGAATATGTCTCTGTGCTCATTGCCTCTGGTTTGATCAGTACTGCCAGAACAACGCTGATGGTTCAGTGGCTCCTTGAGCAGCAGGAGGCTGAGTGTTTTACAGTGGTCACCCCCGAAGTAACATCACTTGGTCTTAGTGCCAGCTGTTGGCTGACAGCCAAGTTGGCCACTCTCGTAAGGAAAATCGGATCAGCTTCGTTGTGATCAGTGGCACAGAGCAGGGGATATTCTTTACTGACAGTGCCCCTCAGTGGTAACACGGAATTACTGATTTCTGCAGAATGTCCGCTCTCAAAAGACCTGGTAGCTGGAAATGCAGGGTTATCATGAAATACTGTATTTCCAAAGGAAAACTGCCATGCAAGAATACGTGAAACTGTGTGTGTGTGAGATGACAGAGTAAAAGCAGAAAACTGGAAAGAGTGTGTTGTAGAGAAATGATGTCATTTGTACTGCATGTGTTATAAAGACTGCTCATCTGAACAGACCTGGAAACACTTTTTCCTTGCTGTTGTAGAACAAGAACAAAGATAAAACAAAAATGGACACTCAAAAGGTGCAGATAAATCAGTGTGGTAAGAGATCTAATATAATTTGTCATTACAATCTGCATCAATTTTACAAAGTTTTAGTAGACTGTGATAGGCCTGTTGTGGGCCCCCCCCACTTACTTTAATTTTTTAAAATGTTCTTTCCCTTTTATATTTGGGCGGATCTGGAGTGTTTTCTAAGAGTTCAAAGTGGAGCTGTGGTAATGAGCTGTAAATCACACGCGGCTCATCTGAGGGAGCTGAAATAGGCCAGGACAGCCCCAAGTCCCGTTCCACAGCGCAGCGTCCTCCCCCCCCGCCCCCCCCCCCCCCCCACTTACTTTAATTTTTTAAAATGTTCTTTCCCTTTTATATTTGGGCGGATCTGGAGTGTTTTCTAAGAGTTCAAAGTGGAGCTGTGGTAATGAGCTGTAAATCACACGCGGCTCATCTGAGGGAGCTGAAATAGGCCAGGACAGCCCCAAGTCCCGTTCCACAGCGCAGCGTCCTCCCGGCCTCAGCTGCTGCTGTGGGCTTTGGTTCCCACAGCACGCCACCAACCCGCGCTTCTCCCCTCTGGGCTTTGGGCCCTGGCTTTCGAAGGATGAGCCCCGCCGAGGCTGGCTGCTCTACTGGCTGTGCCAGCCATGTGCTCTAGTGCTGCTGGGCACACACATTGACAGACCTGCACTTCTCCAGCAGTGGTTTCTGAGGTTTGAAGCGATGTTACTGGGTTATTTTCCATAACTGGTGGAGAAGAGTTTTATATGCAACATTTGCCAGATGTTCGTTGAAGCAAATCTAGTTGCTTGTCTTTCCTCCTTGCCCTGTGGTGCAACAACTGAGGTGAGCTGTTTCCATCTAATTAATGTAGGCTGGCTTGTAAATACTATTTTGTGTACCTTCTGTAGGTTGCAAAAGATCCAAGTAAGGTCAAGATGTATCCTTGTGTACATACAGTTTTAAACCCCTCGTGCTTCCTATATTGTATAATTGTATAAACATTTCTTAAATTAAACTCTTCTGAAAAGCAATTAGCTCCAGAATGAACTCACTTTTACAGCCTTCCTTTTGTTTGGGTGGGTTTTGTTTTTTCTTAGGCTGGCAGGGTGCTGGCAGTAGGACAAAAAGAGGTGAGGAAGGCTCGCAAGCTTTTGCCTGTTGTGGCAGGGTTGGATGTGCAGGAAAATGAAATGCATGTCTGTTCTCACTTCTGAAAGGCTGCAGGGAGATGAGCTCTCTCAGTTCTGGCTCTGTAACAGAAACAGCGAAGGAATGGGGGCGATCAGTAACTCGCAAGTGAAAGCAGTCTTCATTAAGATGACAGTGATTCTGCTTCGAGCCTTTGCTCTGCTTTGGGAAGGAAATCAAATCCATTATTAAGCTGGATTTGCCACTGATTTAAGGTTTCTGCCTGGAGCTAAGTAATTTTTTGAGAAATTGTCAGAGGTTACTGTGATGCTTGCATCAACCTTCTGTGTCTGGGACTTGGGGCATGTTTGAGGGAGCATCTTTCTGCCTCCAAAGCTGAATGGCACTGCTGCTCTGCTCTCAGAGGCTGCCACGCTGGGTTTGTGAAGAATCAGTGCTGTGGGGTTTTGTGGGTTACGTGTTCATGTAATGTGACAGTGTCTTTGGTGAATTTAAATGAGTTCTCACCGTAAGGAATATGTCTCTGTGCTCATTGCCTCTGGTTTGATCAGTACTGCCAGAACAACGCTGATGGTTCAGTGGCTCCTTGAGCAGCAGGAGGCTGAGTGTTTTACAGTGGTCACCCCCGAAGTAACATCACTTGGTCTTAGTGCCAGCTGTTGGCTGACAGCCAAGTTGGCCACTCTCGTAAGGAAAATCGGATCAGCTTCGTTGTGATCAGTGGCACAGAGCAGGGGATATTCTTTACTGACAGTGCCCCTCAGTGGTAACACGGAATTACTGATTTCTGCAGAATGTCCGCTCTCAAAAGACCTGGTAGCTGGAAATGCAGGGTTATCATGAAATACTGTATTTCCAAAGGAAAACTTTGCCATGCAAGAATACGTTAAACTGTGTGTGTGAGATGACAGAGTAAAAGCAGAAAACTGGAAAGAGTGTGTTGTAGAGAAATGATGTCATTTGTACTGCATGTGTTATAAAGACTGCTCATCTGAACAGACCTGGAAACACTTTTTCCTTGCTGTTGTAGAACAAGAACAAAGATAAAACAAAAATGGACACTCAAAAGGTGCAGATAAATCAGTGTGGTAAGAGATCTAATATAATTTGTCATTACAATCTGCATCAATTTTACAAAGTTTTAGTAGACTGTGATAGGCCTGTTGTGGGGTGGTGAGCAGCTGGGAAAACGTGCTTTTTCCTAGCTGCCAAATTTGGATACTGTATTGGATATGCAAAGGGTAAATCCAAGGACAAACCTACACACACAGTAAAGCACACCACCACAAAGTCACTTTATAAAAAAAATTCACTAATATTTATCCAGGTTTTTATTGTATTTTAACTTCTTTAAGAACCCCCGAACCGTGTAAGGGTTCACAAGAAGCCATACCTTCTGTCACTGTTAGAAATCATTATCAAATAAGTCTTTTAATTGTACCCAATGTCTAAGAAGCAGAAATATTTTGTTTCTATTGGAGGATTGGATACATTAGCCAAAGTTCTCCTTGAGCTTATGCATGATTCCAGTTTGAGTCACTCCAGCATGAAACTTGCAGTGGTAGTAACAAAGACTCTGGATGCCTGCATTGCTAATAACTGTGAGTGGAAAGACATTTTTTATCTAGGTAATTTTAAAATGCAATTTTTAAAGTCTTGTGCTGGTGGAAAGTTGTAGAAATGAATGCTTTAAGGCAGTTAAGTAATGTACATCCCAGTGGATGTTGCAGTGTTTTTTAAAGTTCAGAGGTGTAAGTGGGGAGTGATTCAGTTCATTTGAGGTGGGTTACTGTCCCATTGTTGCTAAAATGCATACAGTGAAATTTAAACCCGACTGAAAATTAAAAGTAAGATGCTACAGCTCATGCTGGGTAAGTAAAGCTGAGCTCTGGGCCTGGATTTGGTCAGTCAGTTTGGATCCTGGAGTTAGGCCTATGCCTGGATAATAAATTGTGTAGCTCTAGGAAGCTTTAGTAATTCAGAGGTGGAGCTGAACGAAGGTGCTGTTTCTGCACAGCACACTCTGCTCTGCTTTGCTGGCTGGGTACTGCTCTCCTGATGAGGTCAACACTTTTTCCTTGCTGTTGTAGAACAAGAACAAAGATAAAACAAAAATGGACACTCAAAAGGTGCAGATAAATCAGTGTGGTAAGAGATCTAATATAATTTGTCATTACAATCTGCATCAATTTTACAAAGTTTTAGTAGACTGTGATAGGCCTGTTGTGGGGTGGTGAGCAGCTGGGAAAACGTGCTTTTTCCTAGCTGCCAAATTTGGATACTGTATTGGATATGCAAAGGGTAAATCCAAGGACAAACCTACACACACAGTAAAGCACACCACCACAAAGTCACTTTATAAAAAAAATTCACTAATATTTATCCAGGTTTTTATTGTATTTTAACTTCTTTAAGAACCCCCGAACCGTGTAAGGGTTCACAAGAAGCCATACCTTCTGTCACTGTTAGAAATCATTATCAAATAAGTCTTTTAATTGTACCCAATGTCTAAGAAGCAGATTTTCCAAGTCTCTTTACCCACCTGGGGTTGTATGTGGGTGCCCAGAGAACATTTTGTGTTACGTCTCCAACCACCTGACTGAGGGCTCTGCTGCTGTGCTGCATGATTTATGTCTCCTGTAACTCAGTGCCAGGGAGCAGCCTTGTGCTCTTGGACTCTTTCCTTACTACTCCACGGAGTTTCAAGTGCACTCTGAATTTTATTTGCACTCTGAATACTTTAATGGCTGTGTATTATTTACACTTAATGCACCTTGCAACTGTGAATTTAATATTTAGCAGTTTACATCAGGCTTACTAAGAGTTACTAGCAATTAAAGGCCAGAAACACTAAAGGGGGCTGTTAGTCTGCAAAGGAAATCATGCTCAAATAACAAACTATGGACAGAAATATTTCTAGGTTTGTTGTTTGTGGCTGAAGAGAAGTGAGGCAGCTCCATTTTGGCTCACTTTCTCTCCTTTGCTAGAACATATGTACATACTACATTTTGGACAGGTTTATTCTAATACTGACTAGATTCATGTATAGAAAATATAACCATTTTGATGATATTTTTTTGTGTTTGCTCCTAGATATGAAAACAGATTTGAACTTACTGCTTGAATGCCTTAAATATCAGATGGACTGCCCTCTGTCTCAGAAGGAGGCCTTGATCACGATCTATTCCATTTGCCAACAAAACAGTAAGAGAGGCTTTTCCTTAGAAACAGTGCAGTCATTTATGGTCATCGTGTATGCTAAGAAACTGCACCATGAAAATGTTCTCTAAAGGACATAAGGTTTGAGGTGCTGCAAAATCTTAGAAGCCTTTCATTTTGCAGATAAACAAAAGCAAAAGTTTCTGTTCTTTTTTCCTCCTGTAGGTGAAGCGAGCGAATACTTTCGAGAAATTGGTGGTTTGATGTTTATAAATGACCTTGCCAAGGCGAGTGCTCATGGCGTCGTAAAGGAAGCAGCTTTATTTACACTGGGCATTATTATAGAGAGTAATGGTAATAAAAATCATATTGTTTGTATTTCTGAGTGCGCTGTGGCCCCCTGTCATTACTTGTGCTCCTGCTTCGTTTCCATTTTCTTTTGGTCTCACCAAATGAGACTACAGCATTGTCAGTTGGAGCAAGGGCAGTGAAGGTGCCCTGTCATCCCCAGAACTGAGAAGTGCCTTGTTGATTTGTGCACGTAGGGTGTCTTTAAGCTACCACACACCTGCACTCTCCCTCAGCAGCAAGTGCTCAGTGACTCCTGGATTGTTCCAAAGCTTGCCAGAGTCCTGTCTGGTGTAGAACTCACTGCAGGGGGAAGCCCTCAGTCCTTCATAGTCCTGCCCTGTCTCCACTCCCCACATAATGGCCACAACTGAGACTTAATAATTTAGGATTGTGAGTTTCTTACTTTAGGACTTAATGGTTTTCACTTTCTGTTTTCAGTGTATTGTCAACAGACTTTGTGTACTTCTGCATTGTTTGAAGACCTCATTTTATTTTTAATTAAAAAGGATTCTGGTGTGAACTTGAAAAGAATGTCTGTTTATGTCATCTTAGTACTGGTTTCAAATAACAGTAAGTTGGGGTTTTTTCTGTATTACAGCATTCCTTTTCTATTTGCCAATCTGCCATCCAAAATTTGGAACATTGAATAAGTAATGTTTTGGTGAAGTTAATTGATAAAGATGAATGTTTGCATGTAACTGAACCTGAATTGTCAAAGGAGCGTTATTGCTCGCTGGGATTTCCTTAAACAGCAGAACGTGGTGTAGTTCTGAAAATACAGTTTGCAAATGCAAACCCATAGTTTCTGAGGGTGTATGGAAAGAGAGAGACATAGAAAGGTTTTTTACCAATACGTTGACACGATTTGGTATTTCCTTCTGGGAGGATATGTGCTTGGGGAAGGGAATGTATGTATGTAAATGAAACTTGATGTTAAGGTTTTGTCTGCAGTTGCATTTATCTCTGGAGTCTCGTGTGTGTTCTCTTTTAGAAACTGGGCAAACCTATGTCAGAGATACAGGCTGCATCAGCCTGCTGCTGCAGTTATTCAGGTAAACAGGGCTGCAGTTCAAGCAGACAAATAATAGACTGGTTAGCAGCTATGTTTCCTTAACTATTTGGGACTTGTTTGCACTGTCCTTAACAGAACAACTCTCTCCACCTCTGAGAAGAATGTGTCAGATAAAAACACTGATCCCTGCTTTCAGCTCTGGTCCTCAGTGTGCAGCACTCTCTGTGCCTGTGTCAACAACCCCCAGAACGGTAGGTGTTGCTCTGAAAGTTGTGGAAGAAGTTCAAAGATATTCTCCAAATTGGTAGCACTTTGGTTTCATTTTTACTGTTCAGCTGAAGTTTCATTTCATTGGGTTTTGATTTGGGGTACTTTGTTTTTACTTTTCCAGAAGATAATCAAAACATTTGCTGTTCGGTTTTTCCCTATGCCAAAGAGTGGCTCCAGAGTTGCACAGAGCCTGAGATCGTTCGTCCCATTTGTTCATTTCTTGGTCTCACAGTTGCAAATAACTGTAAGTGCAGCTCAAGCTTTACACAGTTTTTCATTTGATAAAAGGAAGTTTAATTAGAGAGTTAAATGGTTTCCTCTTTCCTGTCAATCTCTACAAAGTCATTTGCTGTTCTTCCAGCTTTTACTCTGACCACTGTACTCCACCATCTTTACTTACACTGTGGTACTGCTCTCCTGATGAGGTCTGGTGTTTTCCACACAAGGTTTGCAGAAACCTGTGATCCTGACGAGCCTGTGCTGTGGCCTTGGTTGGTGTATCTCACACTGGTGCCATAAGAGCTTCAAATGGAAGGTTAAAAAGTTTAAAGAAAAGTTTAAAAGCATAAGCCTGCACTGGTTCTGAGGGTAGTTTCAGATCAGCTGGCTGTGACAGGACCAGGCCTCAGCATGGATGGAGCAGCTGTGCTGTTGCCAGTGCCAGGTCCCCCTGCTCTTCTTATGGCAGATACTCTGTGTGTCAGAACTGATTCAACTGGCTCTGGCTCCATGCTGGAGCTGATAAAGGATGTGGAGAAACTCAGCAGGGATCTCCAAACTTGCACAGGGCAAAGCCCTCGTTGGTCAGATCTGCCTCATCTCCATGGAGCACAGGCTGGGGGATGGGCAGGGCTGGATTTGGGAGCAGCACAGGAGGGATGGGGTAATCTGAACTGTTGGAGGTGGAGCAGGGCAGGGCTGAGCAGGCCCAAGGCTTTGAGGGGTTTGTAGGGTTCCCTCAAAACCCAGCATTTTATCCTTGGATAATTCCTGTACGCTCACGATCGACTTTCTTTTCCTTCCAATTGTTTTAACAAACAGCTGCCATGAGCGTTGTCTTGGCACAGTACCACACTGTGTCAGAGCTGCTGAAGCTGCTGTCCAATGAGACACTGAGCACAGGAGAAAAAATCAGTATTATTCTAACAATTGGGCACTGTACTGAAGTCTGTGGTAAGATTTGCTTTTTCTTTTTCCTGTCTGTCAGCTTCTCCTAAATTCTCATACACTGACTCCTCCAGTGGTGTCACTTCATCAAGACTGGAACACGAGAGAGAGTTCTCTTAAATACCATAATGTCAATATTTGGACAAAATTTTTCTATCATGTTCCATCTTTAAATTTTAAAGCTTGTTGGCAGGAAGTGTCTCTAGTAGCTTTGAAAAAGTAGACTAAATATGCAAGAATTCAGAGCTGGGCTTAGGTGTCACAGAAAAGAATTAATCCAGACCTGAAAGCTACTGCAGTCCAGACGTGGCAGATGGGTTGTCTTGAGCACCCTTTCCATGGTGCTTGGAACACAGAGTTCTGCCCACTGCTTGCAAGGCCAGTAATATTTGTAAGAGCCATGTAAGAGCATTGGTTTTCAAGACACAGAAGCAGTAGGTAGCCCTGAAATGTATTTGTCATGTTCCTCAGGGCTTGCCCAAGCATATCTGGCACAAATACAACACTTCACTTGGTATTTTGTGGTAGTGCAAGCAAAGAGAAAGGGAATTTCATTTGTAGTCCTGTTTTTTCACATGTGTGTTTAGATAAACAAGGAAAAGGCCTGATGTTCAAAAATCCTGGTTGGTTTTCATCCTCTGAGTGCCAATAACATGTTCAATGATTAGCTCAATAGGACACAAATTTATTTTAACAGACATTTTTTCAGGAAGAATTAGTGAAACAAGACTTAATGGAAAATGTCTTTTGAATAGTAAAAATGATTAAACCAACAGAAAAAAGGTTTCTCTTAAAATGTCAACACTGTCAAAACAAAAATGTTTAATTTTTTTAATTTATTTTTTTAGTTAAGTTTAAAGAAGAAAGAGCTATGTTTAGCAAGTTAGCAGTTCTATGAATATGTATGCAAATAAATTAAGCTAATTACATAATGAATGAGGAGGAACAGATTGGCTAGACCAGGATTAAACTACTAATTTTATTTTGCTGGTTACAAACCTTGAGATTTTGATATTTGTGCATCTCAGGCCTCACTCAAATGTCGCGTATCTTCTCCAAGAGCCGGTCATGGAAGAGAAGAAGTGCAAGAGTCATTGTTCAAATGTTTTAGGCCACAATTAAATGAGCTTGGAACTCCATCATATAATTTGTCTCAGTAGTCATCCTTCAGTTTTCTCACAGTAATCTGAGTTGTGGTCAAATCATCCTGTGGGATGTAAAGCTCTCCTGCTGTCACTGCAGCAGGCTCGGCTCTGTAGTGAAAATGTCTCTTTCTACAGAAACTTGCAGAAAGCTGCCAGTATTGGCTCCTAAAATTGCTGTAAGGTTAAGGTGTGTGGGGCTGCAACCAAACTTTCCTTTGCCATGTCCTGTTCTAGAAGAAAACCAGTGTGAGCTGCTTCAGAACAATGGTCTGCCACTTATGATTCAGGTATTGACAGAATCTCAGGACGAGGAACTCATCAGAGCTGCTACTTTTGTGCTGCAGAACTGCAAACAAATGAGTAAGCTTGCTGTTCCTGCTTTAAAAATGACACTGATTGTTTCCATCTCTGTGTTCTGCTGATTCCCCAAGTGATTTTAACTGCAGCAGCTTTGTAATTCTGTGTACTCCAAAAGATGTTTGTTTTCTGCACAGAAAGTTGCTTATTTGTCATCAAGAACTGACTTAGGCAGAAAAAAGAGAAGTAAGAATTGCAGCAGTGTTGCAATATGCATTTGTGAAACCTCTCCATGTAGGGCCAGTTCTTAAAGCTTCCCCATCTATAAAGTGTGTGGAAAATATGAACATTGTCATTTAACACCCAGTGGATACTCTCTTCCTGGGGATGTAGCACTAGAGGGAGAGAATAAACCAGGAGATAATCAAGCCCAAAATCACTGTGTCTGCATTAATTTCCACTATTAAGAAATCTTGATCTTTTCTTTTCTGAAGTAGGATGTATTTTTGGCCCTGTTTCAGTTTTTTATTAATTATCTGTACAATAACTCCCATGAAACAGAGAGACCTTGTCCTGTAATCTCTAGAGGGTGGAGGGTGTGCAATTGCTGATTAGGAAAAAACAAACCAGTATCTACATTTCTGTGCTGCAAGCACAACTGAGAGGTTAGTGTAAGATTGAGGAGGTGTGGAGATTTGTAGTGTCCATTAATATGGAATTGGTTTTTTTTAAAAGCAGAGACTCAAACTGGTGAAGAAGGCAGAGTTAAGTCAATGAAAAAGTCTTTATTTTTTTCACAGCAGCGTTGTGAAAGCAGTTTATAAGGAACTATGATTGCAAGTTCACCTCTTGTAACTGCAGCTTATATTTCAAGTGTGTTAACATTTATGTATAAATTTAAGTTTTATAAAAATTGTTATTTTGCATTGAATTGTTGGTGCTGGCCCTCGGCATACTAAAATATAATAAATACTTTTTAAATGTTACTTGATAAAGTATTAACTATTAATGTTGTCTCATATTTTATAAAGCTGAACAGTTGTCTCTGAAATTATATGATAACTCATTAAATGTGAACAACGCAGAAGAATTGGATGTGCAAGTCAGAAAAAGATGTCTGCAAGACTACTGGAAGAAAGCAAAAGAAATTTTACACAGAATAAACTCAATTGAAAAACAGCAGAATGAGGTTGGCCTATTTACCAAAATAGGATGAAACTAATCACATCTTTCCAGAGTTTAAGGAGAAAGGAAAAGTAAATCCTTAAGTCAATTTGAATGTGAGCAGAAAACCCAGGCAAAAACGTTGGAATTGTGTGAAACTACAACCTGCAACTTTTATCAGTATTGTAGATCAGACCGAGTTACAGGTGTGCAGAGAAGGGAGGCATCTGTATTGTATGAAGTATTCTAGTGTACTGTAAACCCACATTTTCTATGAGCTAGAAAAAGAAGTTGAATTTATTTTTAATTGTTGGACATCCGTACCTATAATTTTAATATTTGCATGCATGAAATGCTCAGGGTTGTACGGCTGTAGGAACTGATTTAGTAATCTGCCCCAAAGGGTGGATATTACACATTCACTGGAATAAACATACAGCAGAACACTCAACATGACAAAGCCAGGGACAGAGCTCAAACTCCCTCCTCTTGCAAAAAGAAAGAGCAGCACACCTTTCAAATAAATACAGGATAACACTTTTGGGCATGCTTTATATGACTTCCATCTCTTCTTTCTCCTTCTAGAATGATTCTCCTGAAAAAAAAAAAACAACCAAAATCAGGGTTTTTTTGGAGAGGAACTGTCTGCACTAAATGGGAAGGTATGAATTTGCATCTTCAGCTTTTAAAGGGAAACAACTGCTCTTGTATATTTTCCAGGAAATCTATCTTTATTAAGATTTTGATACTGCATACTTCCAGCTATTTAACACTGATTTAAAATGCTGGGCTTTGAAACAGTGAATAATTCCCACTGATCTCAGTGGAAACTTGAAGTGATCAGTGATGGCTGCTCCCAAAGATCCTCTTCTGGGCCTTTTATCCCGGAATGCCCAGAAATGAACCATACTAAACTGACTCATTCAGTGTGGCTCTAGAATACTAGTGCTATACATAGAGCAATGTATAGACCTGACATAGGTGCCTTTATCACCATATTGTAAGCTTTCATACATACTTACAGCAAGACGCTTCAGAAAGCGCCAAAGTAGAGTCAGAAGTTCAAGTGACAGTCTCCTTCAGAAATCAGTGCAACTTCCTTTAACTTTCTTGCTTTAACTTGCTTTTCTTGCCTAATTTGCTGCAAATTGCCATTTAAGTCCCTTTCCTTTCCTCTTTCCTCTTACCTTTCCTTTTTCCTTTCCCCTTTCCTTCCTTTTTCCTTTCCCCTTTCCTTTCCTTCAGAATGTGTTAGTAGTAGAGGTAGGTGATGACTGAAGGAGGGGTGGAATGACATGGATTCTTTTATCCCTTCTTTTCAAATTAATACATATTACATATAAAATAATAATTAAATATGTTACTGTGCTGCCAGGTTCGTATGCTCTAATTTAATCCATTGACAGTTTGGTTTTCCTTTCAAACTTGAAGGATAATTTAACTTGCCTTGTTTCCAAACTCAAAAGTCCTCCTGAATAACACTTAATCTACTTTCACTCAAGTAAAATCTCACTTCTTGTCTCTTCTCCCAGGTCTAACTCATAACTAGGTTTTAAACAATTATTTTCTTAATAAAAATCATTCTCTTAACACCTTAATTATATTACTGACTCATGGGAATGGTTTAGATGCTAACCTCTGTCATCAATTTACAGCTCAGATTCTTAAGGAAGCACCCTGAAGGAGATGATGCCTCTTACTCTCAGCTCAAGTATGTGTTGAACACCAACTGTGCACTTAAAAGCTACTTACACAACTGAATTATAAAAATAACTGTGTTTACAGATGCAGGCTTTGAAATTCCAGATAAATCTGTGGTTGGATATGCTCTTGACACTAATGAATACTTCAGAGATTTAAATTGAGTTGGTAATGCAATATAGGTGAAGAGGAAATGTTTGTGCTTCACCTTTTCATAATGTACTCCTCAAGTCTCACGGCTCAGCCATGCTGCAGGACATCCTGAACCCCCAGGATGGTGAGCAGCATACAGTCTGCGGCCCCATCTGGAAATAAAATAACTTGTAATTTGACTTTAATTGGATATTTGTCTGTCTTAGCTCAATCCTACGTTGCTCTTCTGTCACCAAGTCTTTAAAGCGGACCGAGAGGGCGCCAGGGCTGGAAGGAGCGGGGACCGAGGCCTGCCCAGCGTCGCCGCCGCGGGCCCGGCCCCGGCAGTCGGTGCCGCGGTTGCCGGGTAACCGCGGGCGCGGCCCAGCGTCTGTGACGGCGCCGCGGCCTCAGCTGCCGCAGGGCGCGCTCCGGGCTGCTTGATCTCAGGTTGTTATGATCTGGTTATTAAAATTATTTGGGAGATGCCCCTGAATTAAGGTGCAAAATGAGACCATATGCCAAAGTCAATAGTCTGGATTTTATGTAACAGTCAATGTGAGGAAGAGAGAAGGAGAAATAGAGAAGGAGGTTGGGGAGGGGGTGAGAAATAGAGTAACAGATTAAGTAGAAAGAATCACCATTGTGTGGATCCCATGGCATACCATTAAATCTTCTCTGTGGTGAGGTCTTGCAAAACCTAAGTCTCCAATGGATTCCTAATTTGGGCAAGGTGGGACTGCTCAGGTACCTCCCTGGGGTGGGGCAAGTTGGACTCTGTCTCTTCTAAAAGCTTTAGCACCAGTATATCCCTTGAGTCTGCCATGAACTGGGCTGTGGATTTTCAGATCTGTTGTGTTCCTTTGCATGCCATGCAGTCATCTGGTGCAAGGGCTCAGGAATGGCTCTGGGGGCACTTTGGGGGTCTTTGATGGGTGATGACACCCCCTTAGCTGTCCCTGCTGGGAATGTCCCCTGGATGTGGCCTTCTGGGGGTGGGGGTTTTAGAGCTGAGCCAGTTTGTGGGAGGGAGGATGGGTGTCCACTGCTTCTTACCAGAGGTTGTGCCACACACCCAAAATTCCCTCCTCCCCCTCTGTTGATGGGAGGTTTGTGTGCAAACGTGGCCTCAGCAGATGAGTCTGAAGGCAGACAGAGCTGATTTTCAGGACAGCTGCTGGCTTTGGCTTTGTTGTGGATATATTTTTCTCCCTCAGCCTTACTCACTTGTCCCCAGACCTGAGCTAATAGGACAATAGTGTCACCTTTATCTTGTCTCAAGTTCCCTTAAGCGGCTTAACTCACAGTCCCAAGTTCCAGTCAGGAGGCATTTTCAGGGAAGGGTGGGCTTGGGTGGTCTCAGCTTCTTTATACACAGCTTTGGTGGTCGCAGCTTCTTCTGTCACAATGGGCAAAAAGTGCTTCATAACAATAGCCATAGCATTCCAGTCTCTCACAAGTCCTGGGAGGAGCAGATGAGAGAGGAGGGGTTGTTTAGCATAAAGAAGAGGAGGTCCACTCTAGCTATTTTTAAGTAATATTTAAGCTACAGCTTTGTCTGTTCTAACTATTATTAATGTTCAGATTTTTAGCTCTAGGTTTCAGTATGATCCATCTTTGAATTGCACAAGGCAGCCATATAGTTCAAATAAAGTCCAACTAGAGGCCTAACAATACTAGTTACTTATGCCAAACAAGCACTCAACTACTTTCAAATAATACAAAAATTTTAGCACCAATATGTGCCTTGAATCTGCTATGGATTTTCAGAGTTCCATTGTTGTTCCTTCCAGTTTTGTTGAGGCATTGTCGCTCATCTGCGACATCCTCCCTTGAAAATGGCGTCTGGATTGCCAAAAAATACACCAACACCTCGTCTTTTGTCCCGGGAAATGCTGAAATCTTTTACTGTGAGTACCCACTGGGGCTGTGTTAAGGCTGGAAGCTCCCCTGCTGTCCCTGCTCTCCCTGCCCCTGTTGTCCAGCAGCGCTGTGAAGCTGCAGAGCCCCTCCCCAGCTCTTTGTGCCCTGCTCCTGTTGGTGGGGGCTGTCCTGGTGCAGGAGGGAACACTGTGTGATGTTTCAGGGACAGCCCAGCGCCTTGCCTGGCTGTGCCACTGGAGCCAAGTGAAACCAATGTGCAGCTGAAGCCCTCAGCATGTGCTTCTGTGCCTGCCCTTTGCCACAGGAATTCCTTCTGTCAGGCTGGGCACTCCCCTGTGCTGCTCTGACCAACCTGCCCTTGGGCACCTGGCATGTGTGGGGGAAAGCTCAAACTCTGCCCAAAGCCTTGAGAGCCACGGCTGGTCCCAGCCAGAAGAGCTTCCCAAGCAGCTGCTCTCTCTCAGCTCCTGGGTGGGCACAGCTCCAGCCCTGCAGGCAGCACTGGAGTCAGGGCCACAAAGGTCCCTTGCTGTCTGGAGCTCACTTGACTGAAGGTGCCCCAGTGCTGAGGCTCTGTCAAGGAGATCCCTCTGTTTTGTGCTGTGGAGGGGCCTGTGAGCCCAGACAGAGGAAACAAATGCTAATTAACAGAGAGAGGCAAAACTTGGACACATTCCTGTGCACCTCACTCTTGGTACAACTTTGTTTTCTTGCATCTCTTGGACTCAGCCAGCAGCGCTATCTCCTCGCTGTGAGTTTTGAGTGTTGTGCAGGGATGGAGTTCAGGCAGTTCTGAGAGCTCTTCCCCATTCTCTGGAAAGGTCACTGCCTCAATCCAGTGAAACACAGGAGGAAACAAATGCCCAAAGTGCAGAAGCCCCCAAACATGTCACATCAAATAATGGAGAAGCTTATGGGACACAGCCATGTGGTTGGAGTGTGTGTATTCCACTCTTTGTTATTAATTTACTGATGCTAAGTATTTCAGAAGGAAACTTCCAGGACTGTCCTAGTGTCTGTGATCACAAGTCATTCACCAGTGCCACTTGTTCAAGAAAAGCTTTTCTGAACAAGCGCATCTCTGAGGCTCTAGCTGGTTTATTTTTGTCTTTCAGATGTTTCCCTCTAAGTTCCTGAGGGAAACGTTTCTCAGCATGAAGAAGAAGGCCAGCACTGGGGAGAGTATTCTGCCCAAAACTGGCCCATATGTAGACCTGAGTGAGACTCGTCAAAAGGTAGCCTTTTCCTGCTCTTTTCCTTTCTGTTTAACATGATGTTTGAAGAGGATGTGTGCTTGTGACAGGCCTGTGTCCAGCAAAATACCTCAGTGTCCAG